GCCCTTCGAGCAGATCGAAAGAGGAGACATGAAGAGATGAAGGCTTCAGCTACTCTCTTGATGCTCTCAGAAGAAACCGAGAATAAGAAGATGAAGATTGAGGCAGATCCAAGGGAAAAATATGAACTTCAGCCTAGAATTCCCCGGAACTATGTCGAATAGACAAACATTTCAGAACTATGTTTTTAATTTCAAGAAGTTTATGGAACAATTTTGGTTGTTGTAATTGAAGAACGTTGTTTGTTCTTCATCTCTTTTATCTTTTTTCACAAGGATTTTCACAAGTCCCTTTTCAATAATACTACATGTTTTTTTTTAATAATAATTTACAATATATGTTATTATATATTGTTAGGAAATTTTGGCATAAAGTGTCCCATGAGTTTACAGATGATAAATACAAGAAAAATTTGCACACAAACACCGTATGTGTCTTTCATATAACCATATGACACCGTTTTTGTCCGGAGCACCGTTTTTGCTTGTGATTTAACAATTATACCCTTCTAACTAATACTATTTTGTCAACTGAACTCTCGTTAGATTTTTCTAGCCCTCCTTCTATTCGAGTTGGAAATTCAACCTCTTTATTCGTTCTCCCTACATTTCGCGTTATACCCAACCCCAGCCGCCGTGTACTATGCAACAGTCCCAACAACGATGAAAGGTACCCACTGTATAACTAGTTTTGTCAAAACCTCGATCTGTTCCCCCTCGGCTTCCAACGCACTCCGGGTTACAGATAATGCAAATGAACCCACCCCAGTTGAACACCTTTCTTCTCCAACAAAGTCGTCGGAATCGTTAATCCAGCCATGTGTTGAAGTGTTGTTTTGTGGACAAGCCTTAGCAAACGTAGCTTTTGTGGTCATATAATTGTGGACTTCAGTTTTGTGGATTGCACTTCTTGGATAAAACGAGTTTTAGAGATCAAATGTCATATTTTGGTTGATTTTGAAATTTGTCTTGGATGGTTTATAGTTAGAAATGCATGTGCAGTGTCATAGTAGTGGGAATGTGTTTCTCTGCCCACGTTTCATGTTCTTGGGAGTTTGTTACGTTTTGTGTATTTTTAACCAACTAGTCTATTGTTGAATATTACTTTGTTGAGTTCAAAATATTGGAAAATGGAGAACATGAAGGGTAAACATCACAAGATAAATATTTTTTGTTGGTTGTCTTGTTCTTGGTTCTTGAAATTGTTGTTCTGCTTGAGCTTGCATTTGACATCATTTGAGATTTTATAGTCTTGTTCATATAGAAATCTATATATATTTTAGTTTGGAATTTTGAAGTTTGAATTCTACAAGAAACTCTAATTTTAATTTACAAGTACAAAAAGTAATAATTTATAAGTTTTAACTAGTTAACCTTCAAATTTTACTCTAGTGATGATGTTGCTCTCAAGATTGTAGTATAAAAGGATGTAAAGGACATATATATCTCGTTCCACGTTGGTACCAATACTTGTCACAGAGCACAAGAAGTGAGGGTAGTTGTGGTGGGCATTCCAGCGACTTCAATTGAGAATTCCTCCGAGAGAATTGGCGAAGAGAACCTAAGTCACCGATGCTTACGAACCACGAAGTTAAGATCACTTAAGAAGTTTTTGAGTAGAGAGAAAGAAAGGTGTAGTTTGCATTATTGGTTCAAGAATATAGAGAGAGAGATCTGAAGATCAAAACATGAATCGGTTATCTTTGTATATTTATTTTAATTCAAATCTACATTTAGATTTTCTACTAGAGATGATGATCAAGCCATGGTTACAGAATACAATTCAATTCTTGCAATGGCATCTACATGCATGTTTCTTTAACAATACTTGGCAGCAGATATAACATTATTTGAATATTTGAAAACTAATGTATTATTAAAAAGAACAGATCAAGAATAGTGATTTAAAGACATAGAGGCTCTCTGATAGAGTAGAACAGAAATTTAAAAAAAATAAGTAGAACAGATCAATACTCTCACTCTCACT